AGAGAGAGAGAGAGAGAGACAGAGACGCGGCTCCGGGCCGGGGCGCTCCGCTCCATTGTCCGACGCGGGTGAAACACGCGGAGTTGTAACCCACATCAGCGATGAATATAGAAATCGTTAAAAGGCAAAACGTTGCACGGCCGGACGGTTACCTCGCGACGTGACGGCCGAGAGTCGTTTCGCTCGCCGGCCGCGCGAAACGATATATTTCCTCGCGGGGTATCGCGATTCAATTTCATTTACGTAATGCGCAACCGTCCCGGCGAGGCCCCCCTCCTCCCCCCGTTCTCGCGGGATATCCCAAAAATTTCACCCCCCCCATGCGCGCGCGCACCCTCGAAATAGATAAACGCGTGCGCGATAACGGAATTAAATGCGATACCCGCCGATACAATAATTGCTACAATCCCGCGATTCCTCGTTTATCGATTTAATTCTCAAACGTATACTTTCAATTCGTCCGCTAGAACGCGAGCGCGGCGAGGGGGTGGGTTGGCGGGGACGCCGCGGAGGGGCGGGGGAGGGGCGAGGAGAGCTCAAGCACCGCGCGCGCGGGGGAGAGCTCGCTCAAAAAAAAAAAAAAACTGCGCCCGCCAGAAAATCCTGTCGCGCGCGCACGCGCACGCACGCAACACGGTGTACTTATCGGTACATACAGCGTACATTGTCAATGACTCGCCGCGCCGCGTATTGCAGGCAAACAGCCGGACCAATGATATTCCACGTAGGGTAAATAAACAAGCCGGCCGCGGCGAGGAGAGGAAACGGCGTCGCGAAAATAACACTTTCCCCGCGCGCGCGCGCGCGCGATCAATTTTCTCCGCGGACTGTACATGCCTTTTTCGACAAAGCACTACGAAAACATTTCTTTTTTCCCCACCCCCGCCCCCGCCCGCGCCCCCACCGCCGCCGCCGTCGCCGCTGCTGTCGCCATCTCCGTCGCCGACGACGTCGTCGTCGTCGGCGTCGTCGGCGACGGAGACGCTCGCGGCCGCGATTTTATTCGCGGGATCATCTTAAAAGCATCGAAATTGGATTCGTACGCGCGCCCGACTCTCGTCCGCGGCGCGGCCGCGGCGCGCGCGAGAAATGCCAACGATATTATTCCGTCCGCAATAACAATGTAACCGTCTCTATCGATTCTCGAACATATGACAGATAATGGCCTCTGCTGCTTCCCCTTCTCCCTCTCCCCCCTCCCTCTCTCTCTCTCTCTCCATTACCTTTTGTTTTTCTTCCTTTCGTTTTTTTTCTCGTTCCGTTTTTTTTTCTTTATAATACATCGCGCGGACATTTGTCACGACGGGCCGCGCGTTATTGCCGTTCGGTGAAAGCCGATCCCGCGGTGGCCGAGTGCGAGAGAGAAATGTCGAAAACAATGCAATTTCTCATTAAATAGTCGTTAGGACAATGCGAGTTGAGGTGGCTGCGTTAAATCGGGTTAAGGCACATCTATAAATACCTCACTAACTGAGAACGAGAGGGAACGAGACGGAGAACGGTATGTAGCAGAGCCGGTGCGCGAGAGACAGACGGAGGGGCAGGGGGCAGGGAGAGACAGAGAGAGAGAGAGAGAGAGAGAAAGAAAGAGGCACGGAGCGAACGGAGACCGCGGGGCAAACGGAGAAAGATACAACGGGGGAGAGCCGGGGCGGGAGCGAGCGAGCGAGCGAGAGGTACCGAGAGCGACGGAGAGAGGGAGTAAAAGGCAGAGTCGGCGGGAGACGCGCGAGTGCGAGATAAGGACGGAATCATAAACTTGACAGAGAGGATCGAAAATGAAACGGAGATGCACGGATAGACGGTGACGGTTTAAAGAAGCGAGAGAGAAGAGAGCGAGCGAGCGAGCGGGCGAGAGACAGAGAGAGAGAGAGAGAGAGAGAAAGAGCGAGCGAGCGAGCGAGAGAGAGAGAGAGAGCGAGCGAGCGAGAGGGTGGGGAGAGAACGAGAAGTAACCAGTCTATCTAATAGTATGGTACACATCGAAGATACATACAATGGTATTCGTTGCCAGATGTCTAACTACACGATCATCTCCCCACTATCCGGGCTACCCCCTCCCCTGTCCCCCCCCCCCCTGCCGCCCGCCCTCCCCACCACTCGTCACCACGCGTC